TCAATTAAAAAATTTGTATGACTTTAAAACATTTTTATTTATTCCATACGTTTCGACACATTGTTTTGTGTCATCTTCAGTGGACTATGCAATTGAATTAATCCTAATTATTTCATATTATAAATGTTCACAATGCACAATCTTAATTATTTCATATTATAAATGTTCACAATGAACAATCCTAATTATTTCATATTATAAATGTTCACAGTGCACTAAAAAAAACTAATCCTTGTCATTTTAAGTTGAACAATATATAAACTTTTGACTGACTGAAATCTCAGTCAAAAATTTATATATTGTTCAACTTAAAATGACAAGGATTAGTTTTTTTTAGTGCACTGTGAACATTTATAATATGAAATAATTAGGATTGTTCATTGTGAACATTTATAATATGAAATAATTAAGATTGTGCATTGTGAACATTTATAATATGAAATAATTAGGATTAATTCAATTGCATAGTCCACTGAAGATGACACAAAACAATGTGTCGAAACGTATGGAATAAATAAAAATGTTTTAAAGTCATACAAATTTTTTAATTGATGTATTGCCCTGAAAACTGAATATCATATATATATATATATATATAATACACTCCATGTGATAATCGATACTTCAGCTCAGATTTATAAATTCACTCATTGATAACCCTTGACATCCTTTAATTAAAATTGCACACTTTTTTGCCGATTCCTTGATAATTATTATTGTCTCATTAATATTAATTCAGAAACTAAAATTGCTGATAACAGTATTTAAAATATTCATACTAAAAATATGTAACATTTTATTCACGATACTCTAGCCTCCCTTTACAACTGACATTTTAATTAATAATCGCTCATTTTTTTTAAATTTATACATAATAACTTTATTCGTGATATAACAAATAAAAATCAAAACATAATGAATTAATGCAACAGTTATTTATAAAAATCTATAAAGTTAAAATATATAATTGTCAACTACAAAATTTCAATATCAGGCTTGTGAACAGTTTTTGTAATTTTTAATTACTGTAACAAATCTTTTTTGTTTAGGAGTGTAATTATAAAAAATTACTAATGTACAAATTAAGCCTATACAATTTTATTAAAAAAAAATTTCATCATAATTTTTATACTGAATTTGCTTCAAATTTTATAATACATATTCAAAATTACTAAATTCATATTATAAGTACATATAATTAGTCCCTATAAATGAGAAATACTACTTTTTTTAATTAATTCATAAGTTTACTAGTAATTTTTTTTAAATATTAATTTTCTTCCCGTAGGGTAAGATATTGTAATCGTCTAAAAATCTAAAATGACAATTTTTGCATATCATTACGTTTCAGAGTTTACTGAGCATTTTGGCATACCTCAGAAAAAATTGATGTGTGTATATGTATGGATACAATTTTTCGTCCACGTTTTACGGATTAACCGATTTGAATGATTCATTTACCATTTGATTTCTTTTGAAAGGGAGATGTGAAGATTAGTTTTTGGCAAAGGCAGGTCCAGCCGATACGGAGCAAAGAGTGCAGAAAATACAAATCGAGTTTTTGAGAGAACGGAGCATCCGATTTGAATGATCTAAAAAACATTCAATTTGTAATGATTGGGAGAAGAGGTGATTAGTTTTTGGCAAAGACAGGTCCCGCCATCTCGAAGATACAGAGCTAAATGTGCAAAAATGGCAGTTTTTGAGAGAACTAAGCGTCCGATTTAAATGATTCAAAGAACCTTCTGCTTGTATTGACAAAACAATTGCTTTTGAGGATAAAAAATTATTACATCTTTTTTTATTTTTCATAAAATATTTTTGTAATTTTGGATTAAAAATTCACAAAATTACGCAGGCTAAGCACAGTCTAAGCGCTACTCTGGTACAAATGTTTAGCCAAGTGCGTTTAGACTGTTTATGTACTAGAGTACTTTTGTGAGAAAACTTTTGTGTTTTAATTTTGTGAGATTAACTATTGAAAAATGTGAAAATGCCGCCAAACTAATCACAGTATAAGTGAAAATGTCGCACAGAATTATTTGCAAATGCGTTTAGACTTTGACTATACGGGAGCACTTTTTCAATTTTGTGCAAATTATTAGGCAACTATTTTTTTTTAAATTGAATTCGAAATGAAATGGCGATTGCTAATGTTCTGGGGATAAATTGATTTATGATTCACATTTGATTTGCTCAGATATAACAAGATAGCAAAAATAATGAAAGTTACAGTATTTGTAATAATGTGTTTGAAAACGTTGAAAATTTCTCGAATATTTCATTACGGTACGGGAAGTTCCAGCAATTTGCCTTAAGGCACGATGCCATACACCACTAGTCTTATATCAAGTTGCTTCTATATACGTTTCAGACAGTTTATACAACTTGCCTCAAGGCAAAATCCCACTCACGACTACTTTCTGTTATATATTTGTTATAAATTTGTTATAAATTTATTACAGAATATAGATATTATAATACAGAAATTCATTAAAGGTTATTATAAGGTTATGTGTTTCTTGACGTACAGATAGAGACTGTCCCTTGTGTTGGATTGTAGAGGTCCTCTGTCCACCCGAAAATATTAGGTTGTCAAATATCTCCCTTATCTTTTTTGCTATTGGTTTATAATACAAAAAGGCGGAAGGGAGATATTTGACAACCTAATATATAGTCCATAGAATGTAAGGTGGAACTCGAGAGATGTAGAGTCCATAGAGTGATAAATGTGGAAGCATGTGTTGTAATTGAGAAAATAAACTTCGCTAATGAGAACTCACACAGTTTCAATATATGGTTACCATATATTTCAATATATGGTAACGAAGAATAGTAAATTTTAATGTTTCTTGGGCAGTGGTCAGCAAGCAAAGAGACCTTATCTCTGTTTCGAATCTCTTAGCTGTCTTAGTGGTGGAAGCGGAATTAGATCCTAGCCGAGTTTCAGTGCTCGAAGAGGATTATGATCCTTTTATACATAAAGTTGCCAGATGGTATAACACTAGTTACATAGCTGGGCATCGTTAATCAAATAGTTAACTTCGTTAATCGTTAATCCGCTACAAAAAAAGTTAACTTCGTTAAACGTTAAAGCGTTACATTTCGGAAGAATTAACGCAAGTTAACGTTAATCGTTAATCCGTTAATATGTGTAAAATTACATTTTTATATCGTTGCGTTAGTGAACTTAAAAAACTTATTAACTTCCCGTAGGGCAAGTTATAGTAATCGCAAAAAAATCGAAAATGAAAATTTGTATATATCTTTACGTTTCAAAGGTTCCTGAACATTTTGGCATACCTTAGAAAAAATGGATGTATGTGTGTGTGTGTGTGTGTGTGTGTTGGTATGTGCGGATACAAATTTTCGTCGACGATTTCGGGAACACGGATCAACCGATTTGAATAATTCAAAAAACATTCGATTTGTATTGATAAGGAGACGTGCTGATTAGTTTTTGGCGAAGGCAGGTCTAGCCGTTCCGAAGATACGGGACAAAAAGTGCCGAAAACGGTAACTCAGTTTTTAAGAGAACGGAGCGTCCGATTTGAATAATTCAAAAAGCATTTCACTTGTATTGATAAGATGAGGAATCGATAAAATTTTCATAAAGGTAGGTCTAGCGGTTTCGGAGATATGGAGAAAAAAGTAAAAAAATGAGCCATTTGGCGGTAAAAATGATCATTAGACATATGCACATCAAATTATCAGATACTTTATAGAGATTTTAACAGTAAGTATACATTTTGTTAACATTCCTATGGGTTCCGTACCAATGCTTATGCGTTAGACAGCGACGCGGCGCTTACGCGCTTTATATTTTGTCCCTATACAGTTAAAGCAGTACGATTGCTTTGAAAAAAAGTTCAGAACTTCCACAATATGTCAAAATAAAGAAAAAAAATCTTTTTTTACAAAAAAAAAAATTAAAAAAAAATTTTTTTTTTTTAATTTTTTTTTCAAAACAAAAGTTATTTTTTGTCCAATTTATAGTTTCTCAAAAATCTTATTTTTCCAAAGTAATTTTTTTTCAAAAATGTTAATTGTTTTTAAAAAAATAATAATTTTAGGTACGGCAAGTACCAGCAATTTGCCTTAAGGCACAACGCCTTAATTGCCTTAAGACAGAATTCCACTTACAGCTAGTTCCTTAAAGAGTTTGTAGCTCTTTGGTTTTTCTATAGACTGAGTGACAGAATTGAAAAAGTCTTCCTTCTCGTCATCATCGTTGTTACTCGCATTGCTCCCTCCGCCACTTAAACTATCTCTGTCATTCGAATTTTTCGCTGCTTCTTGCCATAAGGCATCTTCTACCTTTTTTTCCGTGCATTTTCTTACTGCATTCCTCTCTACTGCTGTCATACGTTTCCAGCCACATTAACCGAAACTTTGGATGAAATGTCGCGGCAAGTTGGCACTGTTCATCATTCAGGAGTGGTCCAAATCTTTTCTCTATGCCGTTTAATAAGGCATTGGCTAAAGCCTATGGCTAAAGCTGTGTCGTGCGGTAAATAGTAGGCATTGGATTAACGATTAACGGACTTCTCGCATTTTAACGGAAGTTAACGTGTCCGTTAACATTTTTAAAAGTTAACTTAAAAGTTAATCCGTTAATCAAAATGTTAACTTCGTTAATTAACGATTAACGGATTAACGAGTTAATGCCCAGCTATGACTAGTTATAATTTACGATTTCGCCTACGCCACTGTCTTCTATGTACATTTGAACTTTACCACCGGCTGCGAGAGCGAGCGAGACGGCGCTCTACAAGAATGAAAATGCCGCCTTTCGCGCGCATGCCGCCGTCTCATAGGAAGTAAAATCAGTTGTGTACATCGAGTAGTACATCGGATTGATAGTGAGGACGGACAGCTGGCCGGGGCTTGATAGAAGATTGTCAAAAAATCCTCCTTGAAAAAGGATTTTGGGAAAAAGACACTAGTGGAAAATGTTTGGTTAAAGTGTGGTTCGTGTGCCTCCGGTTGTGGTAATGCATGGTTTTGTCTCGGGTGTAAGGACCTCCATGCGGTTTTACTAGTAAGTTTGTGTAATAAGAATCCGATTGAGGATTGTAAGAATCCTCCTAGAAAAAGGATTTTGGGAAAAAGACACTGGTGGTAAAGGTTAGACTGAAGTGTGGTTCGTGTGCCTCCGGTTGTGGTAAAGGATAGTTTTGTCTCGGGTGTAAGGACCTCCATGCGGTTTTACTAGTAAGTTTGTGTAATAAGAATCCGATTGAGGATTGTAAGAATCCTCCTAGAAAAAAGATTTTGGGAAAAAGACACTAGTGGTAAATGTTTGGTTAAAGTGTGGTTCATGTGTCTCCGGTTGTGATAATGGCTAGTTTGGTCTGGGAGGATTGTCAAGTTGTGTAAGGACCTCCATGTGGTTTTACTAGTAAGTTTACGTTTATACTAGAGGATAGTTTTTGTGATTTTTGTGCAAGTGTAATGATAAACAAACTAGCTGTAAGTGGAATTCTGTCTTAAGGCAATTAAGGCATCGTGCCTTAAGGCAAATTGCTGGAACTTCCCGTACCAAAAATTATTATTTTTTTTAAAACGACTAACATTTTTGAAAAAAAATTACTTTGAAAAAATAAGATTTTTGAGAAACTATAAATTGGACAAAAAATTAGTATTTTTTGAAAAAAAAAATTTTAAAAAAAAAAATTTTTTTTTTTAAAAAATTTTTTTTTTTTGAAAAAAAATTTTTTTTTCTTTATTTTGACATATTGTGAAAGATCTGAACTTTTTTTTCAAAGCAATCGTACTGCTTTAACTACATAGGGACAAAATATAAAGCGCGTAAGCGCCGCGTCGCTGTCTAACGCATAAGCATTGGTACGGAACCCATAGGAATGTTAACAAAATGTATACTTACTGTTAAAATCTCTATAAAGTATCTGATAATTTGATGTGCATATGTCTAATGATCATTTTTACCGCCAAATGGCTCATTTTTTTACTTTTTTCTCCATATCTCCGAAACCGCTAGACCTACCTTTATGAAAATTTTATCGATTCCTCATCTTATCAATACAAGTGAAATGCTTTTTGAATTATTCAAATCGGACGCTCCGTTCTCTTAAAAACTGAGTTACCGTTTTCGGCACTTTTTGTCCCGTATCTTCGGAACGGCTAGACCTGCCTTCGCCAAAAACTAATCAGCACGTCTCCTTATCAATACGAATCTAATGTTTTTTAAATTATTCAAATCGGTTGATCCGTGTTCCCGAAATCGTCGACGAAAATTTGTATCCGCACATACATACACACACGTACATACATACATACACACACACACACACACACACACACATACATCCATTTTTTCTAAGGTATGCCAAAATGTTCAGAAACTTCTGAAACGTAAAGATATATAAAAATTTTCATTTTCGATTTTTTTGCGATTACTATAACTTGCCCTGCGGGAAGTTAAAAATGCTATTGGGCGGTCAAAAATGATCATTAGACATATGCACATCAAATTATCAGATATTTTATAGAGATTTTAACAATAAGTATAATTTTTTTTTACATTTCTATGGGTTCCGTACCAATGCTTATGCGTTAGACGGCGGAGCGGCGTTTACGTGCTTCTATATTTCGTCTCTATGCAGTTCAGAATTTTCAAAATATTTCAAAATAAATTTTTCTTCAAAGTCTTTTTTTTGAAGAAAAAGTAAATTTTTGTCAAAAATTTATAGTTTCTCAAAAATCTAATTTTTTCGAAGTAAATTTTTTTCAAAAATGTTAAAAAAATAATAATTTTTGGTACGGGAAGTTCCAGCAATTTGCCTTAAGGCACGATGCCCTAATTGCCTTAAGACAGAATTCCACTTACAGCTAGTTTTTTACTTTTTTCATTAGATCTCCGAAACCGCTAGACCTGCCTTCATGAAAATCAATTCTACATCTTGTCAATACAAGTGAAATGTTTTTTGAATTATTCAAATCGGACGCTCCGTTCTCTTAGAAACTGAGTTACCGTTTTCGGCACTTTTTGCCCCGTATCTTCGGAACGGCTAGACCTGCCTTCGCCAAAAACTAATCAGCACGTCTCCTTATCAATACGAATCTAATGTTTTTTAAATTATTCAAATCGGTTGATCCGTGTTCCCGAAATCGTCGACGAAAATTTGTATCCGCACATACATACACACACGTACATACATACATACACACACACACACACACACACACATACATCCATTTTTTCTAAGGTATGCCAAAATGTTAAGAAACCTCTGAAACGTAAAGATATATAAAAAAAATATTTTCGATTTTTTTGCGATTACTATAACTTGCCCTACGGGAAGTTAATAAATTTAAAACTTGACCAAGTATTCTTGTAGTGCAAAGGGTGAGACTTTTTTCCAAATAATTCGTACATACTGTATTGTATTTGAGTCAGAAAATTATTCTGGTATCTTACACAGCTATCTTACAACAAAAATGTTTTTTTTATATAATTGTATTAATTAATGTCCATAATATACCCATTTGTTACATTGAATTGGATTCTCATAAGATTATCAATGGACGTTCCTTAATAATTTAAAAGGTTTTATTACGAAGTGCAATTTTTTGTGGATTTTTGAAAGTGTTATCGTATTTAACAAGTGTTTATAAGGTGTGACAAGTGTTCTGGATTAATTTTATGTATATACTCACTCAGGGATTTGTTTTTGTTTTACTAAAGGTACGTACAATTTATTGATTTGATTTTAATATGCACAGTTTATTGTACAATTAATTTTTAACTTCCCGAAGAAGAAGTTTGTTTTTATCAAAAAAATGCGATTTGCTTATTTTATCTCGACGTTTCAAGTAATTCTGAATTGAATGAGACCAAATTTGGATAAAGTATGTGTGTGTGTGAACAGATTTCTTGCCGTAAATCGACGTTTTCTCAAAAGCGATTAGACCGATTTTAAAAAATTAAAAGCCATTTGATGTATCGCGATGAGGACTATCGTCTATTCTATTTGTATCCCTATCAGCCAAGCCGTTTCTTTCTAAATAGCAAAAAAGGAAAAATAGTTGTTAATTAATATACTAAAATAAAATACAATTGTAGATTTGCATTAAATATTAAAATTTTAGTAAATTTCTAGAGCATGATTTTACTAAACTCGTTCTACAAATTTCAATGGCAATTTCTCATATAATAGACGTATAATTATTTATATAATATACAATAATAAAATTGTAGATTTTATGGCAATATGCAAATTTTTTGTATAATATTATATTGAATATAATATTATATTTGTGAGCATTTTTTGAGAAATTTTGCTAACCTTATATATTTTATGATGTATTAGTAAATAAAAAATCAATTTTCAGGGGTCATTTCGAAAATATTAAAAAAAAGTCCATAAAAAGATATTTTTTGAAGCAAATAAAATACAAATTAATAAGTCAAAAATTTAAAATGATATAAAATTTTTCAAAAATGATATGAAATAGTCTAAACAACCTCATTTCTTCTATTCTAAATTAAAATTCCATTCAAGTAATTATAATTTTCTAACATAATTCCCATTAGATATTATAAGGAAATTGAAGATAAAGAAAATTGAAGAGTTATTTAAAGATATTAATTATAATAGATATATTAATGAAATAGTCAAATGAAATGTATATATATAAAATATGTCTGACTGAAATATGAAAATAATGTATATATAGAAATAAATAAATAATACATATTAAATATATATATATATATATATATATATATATAATATATATATATAAGATTAGTAAAATTTTGATAAATCCAATCAGAATTACATTGCATTCTTATACGAATCTATTATTATTCCAACAAGTCGTACAACTTGTAACTTTGTTTACATTTTGTATAAATACAAGTGATTCACTGGGGAATATATTTCGAACCTAATATGCGATTTAGATTTATTTTAGTTGCAACTGCATAAATCTAATACAAAATTTAACATACACTTATTTAGCTTAAAAATTCTAATCATTTTCTAACCTATATCCAAAATCTCCAGTTCATTATGTAATAATTATAAGAAAGATCAACAAAAAATTTTAATAGATAAACAAAACCATTAGCAAGTTTTTATTACCGTGAGATTGACATGCCTTTTGTAAAGTATTTGTTGACTTATCAAATTTAAAATTAGAGACTTC